GAAATGAAAAATGCATTTGCCGTTATGGATGCAGTTCTCAGAATTTCACTAGAGGGTAGTGTTGGCTCTAAAACCAGAGGTTGCTAATTGTACAGTACATTCATGACTGGGCTGCATTTATATTTAAAGAAAAGATAAACTCAAGCCTCTCAGGCTTCTCTAAAAGTTGATAAATGTCAAGTCTGAAACTTCTCAAGGGCTTCATCCAGTTGTTGCAGCCCCAGAAGAGCCAGATAAAGTAGTGAAGAGATTACTGGAAGAGTTGGGTGGCAGATTCTAATTTCAGCTCCTGCACTAACTAGTAGACAAGAAACTAAGGCTCCCTAGGCCTTCGACTCATCTGCAAAATAAAAGAGCTGCCCTAGATGATCCCTGAATCTCCTTGCATCTCTATAACAAATTCTGGGTCTAAAAGGCTGAAAATTTTCTCATTTTCTTGGCTAGACAAAAGAACAAGTAACATCTCAAAGTATTAAATTACTAATAATTAAAATGTTATAAATGAGATTTAATATACATTCTAATATTAAAAAAACCTTTAAATTAAGTTATTAAGTCTTCTGTCCTACTAGGGAAACCTCAGAGCCATCATTTGTATCTATATGAGAATTCTGTGGTTAATTTCAGTGACTTAATGCATAATCCAAAGGTTATCTCTTCTCTCGGTTGCTAGCTTGCTGGAAATGATCAAAACATGTTTATATAGGATTATCTATAGAAGAGTTTGAACCATTATCAAATAGGGATGTTTTAGTTATGGAGACTAAATCCCTTACTTCCCTTGTACTTACCCAACATCCAGAAGGATTTAGTTGGTTCAGTTTCCTATTACCCTCACCTCTTTTGATTCCCTTTCCTTGTTATAATTATTTGCATTGCAGAGTGAACTGAGGATCTTTTCATAAAACCTTGAGCAAATTATTCAACTCCAGCGTCCCTGTAAACCCTAGTTTCTCTCTGCATGGGCTTGACTTCTAAGCGTTGGCGTGAGAGTCCGAAATTAACCTCTGATGGTGCGAAGGAACACTCTCATCACCGCAAACATTTTGACATGAATACTCAGCAGTCCCTTTCCTCCAAATTGCTTAGCTTCGGAAAACGGAGGTTTCCTTTCCCCGGCCCCTCCTACTTCTATCCCCAAATTTTGTTACATTTTCTGGCTCATTTCGAATCTCTAAACTTCCTAAAATATACACGGAGCGCCGGCTGGTGCGCACTCGCGCGCGCACGCGCTCGCGCTCGTACGGTCCCTCTAGTACACGAGCCCAGCGGGGCCGGCTCCCAGGCACAGAACACATTCCATTCTTCACGTTCGGGCACACCCCTCCGCTGTGAGGATTGGTCGGGCCGACCCCACTCCGAGAGGCGAGGCTCCTAAGAGGCTCAGACGCCTGCCAATCCCCACGGGCTGTCAAAACAAGTCTTCCCTCTCTGTCACAACAGAGCGGAGCGGAGGCCGCCGCCGCCGCGGTACTTCCTGGGGCTGCTGCGCGGCTGTCCGCGGGCAGGTGGCGGGTGCACCGGCCGCGGTCTCCCGGCTCCGCGCCCCTCAGGCTGTGCGCGTCCCGGCCTCAGAGGCCGCCTAGCCAGGCGGCCGGTGCCTTTTGTTTCGCGCAGACCGGGCGTTTGCATCACATTTCGGACACCTCCTTCTTCTTTTCGCCTATCCTTCTGCTTCCCGCTCACTCTCCTCCCCACACCCGCCGCCATCCATCCCCCAGCGAACTGCCGGCCTCCTGGACTTCTCTACCCGAGCGATGCCTCCTATCCAGAAAGTTGCCGCCGCCGCCGCCGGCGGGCAGTGAAACAAAGTCTGGCGGGGCCGCCTCCCTGTGCATGAGCGCACTGGTGCCCAGCGGCTGGACTCCACTACCGGGCGTGCAGTCTCCCTTCGGAAAGCCTGAAACGCGCCCAGCCATGGCCGAGGGTGCGGCCGGCAGGGAGGGTCTCGCGCCGCCCGACGTTGTCGGGGGCGAAGACGACCCCCGAGTGGGCTCGGATGGCGCCTCCGGGGACAGCGTGGCAGCGGCCCCTGGATGCCGGTCGAGGGACCGTCGCAGCGGGGTCGTATTCCCGGTTGCTGCAGGGGCCCCTGCAGACATCGACGCTGGCCTTTTGGAGGCGGCGCGGGCGACCCCCCGGCGCAGCAGCATCATCAAGGTAAGCGAGGCCGCGCCACCCCGAGAGCGTGGGTGTAGGAGGTGGGTGGGTCCGGGATCCCCGCAGGACTTACGGTGTCCGGAGGCATCGCAGGCTCGACATTGTTTTCTCCCACCTCCTTTATTACCAAACCTTCCTTCCTCATCCGGAGGTTCCCAGACTCAGCCCTTGGCTATGAGAAGCAGAAGTGACTTTTTTTTTTCTTGATAGCGGAGGAAAAGTTCCACTCTGCATCTTTGCGTTTTGATGGATGCTTTCTCTCATTTTCTCTAAAAGCTTCACTAAACCGTTGATAGAAGGAGAAGAGGACTCAATATAAATGCAGACCCACGAAATGGTAGTGCACTGCTCTCCAGAAAAGGTTAGCTTTTCCTTCACAGTAAAGGAAATGCACAGTTTACCTTAAAGTGAAAAAACAAACCTCTAGACTCAAACAGTCCCGAATTCCCAAGAAGCGTGAACTTTCCGAGTAGGCAGGCAGAGTTTTCAGTGGACCTTTCAGCAAAGTAAAGAGCGATATGGGAGCTCAGAGTTTCTGCGCTGCTGAAAGCGCGACCCGAACGCAATCAATCCCCAAGCGTCATCCTGGGTCCTTGCGGTTACCACCATATCCAGGGAAACCGCTTCTCAATCCCCCAACTACCAGACAGGGTTTCTCTTTATCTATTGGGCAAGATTTTTGTAAACCTTGCCCATCCCTTACCTCTTTCTGTCTTCCTTCCATCTGGGGCTTATTTCCTGTTTGAGATTTCATCTCTTAGATGCATGGCATCGAGGTAAGGTCTCCTGGAACTCAGTATTCTCCCATAGGCTTTGGAAAAGGGCCTCTTAGCATAAATATTTGGGAGTAATCATGTGCATGTAATATTAAAATCGATTTTGGTAGTAATCATGTGCATGTAATATTAAAATCGATTTTCATTCAATATGAAACTACACACACACACACAGCCAAAGGTGATAGTGAAGGATAGACTTGGAACTACTTATTATTCATCTGACATGGTGTGCTAATATTCAAAACGCTTGTTCGCGTTTAAACTTGTGTAACCACCATATAATACTTGTTTCGTTCTAAAGCTCTAAACTGGACCTCCCAGGGCCAGTGTGGGTAGATTGCACCCACAGTACATCCACCTAGCTCCAAGTATGGTTTAGGCTTTCCCCCAACACTGGCACATGGAAGTTTAAAGCCAACGGGGAGATTTCTATAATAAAAGAAGAGTGGGTGGTAGTTGCAGATGACTTGTAGTAGTTTCTGTTTATTTTGTGACTTTTCGATTATGTGAAAAGGATTATTCTATTCTGGGTGTGAATTTGAATAAAAAGGAAATGATCACTTTTTTCCTTTTAACCCACAGATCAGAAAGCATAGAAGAGAAATCACAGTTAAGAAACATACGTTTTGTTCTTATTTTATATTTTTTTCATTGAGGTCTAATTGACATACATTATGGTAGTTTCAGGTGTATAATGTTATTCAATATTTGTATATATTGTGAAATGATTACCACAATAAGTCTGGTTAATATCTGTCACCTGATTCTTAGTTACAAATTTTTTGTGTGTGTGATGAGAACTTTTAAGATTTACTGTCTTGGCAACTTTCAAATATGCAGTACAATATTAATAATTATAGTCACCATGCTCTACATTAGATCCCTATTAGTTTATGACTGGAAGTTTGTACCTTTTGACTCTCTTCACCCATTTTGCCCACCTTCCCCTCCCCACTAGCAACTACCAATCTGTTCTATCTTTTTTTTTTTTTTAGAGTCCACAATTGAAGTCATATAGTATTTGAGGAAATATACAGTTTGGATTCTAAGATATTGATACTAAATAAGATCCCGTATGTGTGAAAAAAAAGCACTGCAAGATAGTTAAAAATATACCATCATAAAAAGTAGTGGGTTCTATAGTTTTATAAAAAATAAAAGTAATGGGGTGTAAGGAATATACACATTCTTACAACTAAATTTGCAATTTTTAAATGGTACCATGTCTTAGTTTATATTCTCAGAAGGGTCTTGATCAATAATGGTGCCTCTTTTATTTTGAAGTTTCTTTTCTGGACAAAAAAAGAGGGAGGCAACAGAGTATCAACTTGATCTTTCCCTTTTTAATAGTAAAATAAACATTTACTAAATAAATGGCCTTTAAAATTAAAGATAATAAAAAATAAAGTGAATTATTACTACTTGAAATTAGGTTTTATCAAAAAAGTAATATATATATGATAAAAAAATCAAGTGTTGCAAAGGAGTATGAAGGGAAAATTCCCAGCCACTCCACACTCCCACTTACATAGTCCACCTCCATAGCTGTTAACACTTTCTTTCCAGAAATATTCCATGCATATATAAGCACATGTATCTCTACTTGTCTGTGGTGAACCATTGAAGCTTTTTATTTATATAATAATATTTGGTTAGAGTTTTACAGGCCTTATATTTTTATATTTGCTCTAAACATCTTTGATGCCAAGAAGATTGTTTAATCATTGTGATTTGTCAGTTAATCTTCAAGTATAACCTGGTGGGTCATAGGTGATGGTGGTACCTTGGGGTCTGTTTCCAGGGGCTTTCATTCCCTTCCAGTGAGGAAAGAGTCAGGTGATGATGGGCTCTGTTCCCCTCACTTTCTGATATCAAAGACTTTTCTGTTGACATCTTGAATCTGCTGCCCCATGGTTTGTTTACTTTAGTGTAATAAAAATGAAGAGTTTCTTAAAAAGATCTAGATCATATAAGAAATACATAGCACATATTCTATATCAAGAGAAAATGCATTCTTCACGGTTTTGCCAAGGGTTCTTTTATTTGGCATTGAAACATACACAAAAAAGGACTTTTGTGCACTATATAATCAAATTATTAAATGTTCTGAATAGCCTTAGTACAGTAATAATTGATATTCATGATAATCTCTGAACTACTGAAAGATTGTGAATCATCAAATATTAAATTCTTTTCAGCTCAATTTCAGATATTGATTCTATTCTAGTTATTTGATGCTAATTCTCTATTAACTTTAATATTAGATGAATCGGAATAGTGCATTTCTCTATCATGTCAGAAAACAGATTGTTTTTAGTAAATTTGAAAACAGGAATGTTTTTAGTAAATTTGCTCTAATTTATAAAAACATGTTTAGTGGAGAAAATTTCCTTCTTAGCTGATGAAAACAAAGTCCATGTTTATCTTTATTATCTTTATCTTTATCATTCAGAAAGTCTTCTTTCTACCATAATTGTGTTTCTTCCCTTATATACCCAGTCCTAAATTAAAAAAAAAATTAACATGAGAATTAAACTAGATTTTCTTTAATTTGTCCATTTTCCCCTGTGTTTTCCTGTGTGATTATTTTTTGACAGCATTGACATTGATAAATGTTGCATGGTTTTTGGTAAGTACCTCATTGTATACCACAGTATTGCGACAGACTCCAGCTTAATTGCTTTTTGATGACCTGTGGTTTAAAACGACAAGTTAGTTACACGCAAAATTGATAATATCTAACAATTATGTACTATTTTGCATTTCAATATGTTTCTACTTAAGAAATTAGACCATTTGTGTATCTGGTATTTGATATCAAACTAATATAATTAAAATATTTAATATCTTGGATTGGAGTTTACTGTCCTATAAACTCTGTGATGTTCTGTAAATAGAAAGTAATGTAGTTTACTCGCTATACTAGATGGTGGGAACTGAGCTACACATGTTTTTAAAACAACAGTTGATTTTTCTTCTATTATATGTCACATATTGAAGAATTTCACTTTTTTCATTTCTTTTTTTTATATAAGTTTAGTTGGTATACAATCTTATACTGGTTATATTAGTTTCAAGTATATAATATAGTAATTTGATATTTTTATATCTTATAATGTAATCATCCCACTAATTCTAGTAATTATCTGTCACTGTATAAATTTATCACAATCTTATTGACTATATTCCTCTTCCCCTTTTCACCCATCCCCCTCCCTTCTGGTAACCATCCCTTTTGTCTCTGTTTCTATGAGTCTGTTTTTGTTTTGTTTGTTTGTTTAGTTTTGTTTTTTTAGATTCCACATATAAGTGAAATCATACAGTATTTGTTTTTCTCTGCCTGACTTATTTCACTTAGCATAATATCTTCTAGATTCATCTATGTTCGCAAATGGCAAGATTTCATTCTTTTTTAATGCTATGTAATATTCCATCACACACACATGCACACCCTGCATCTTCTTTATCCATTTATTTATTGATAGATGCCTAGGTTGCTTCAATATTTTAGCTATTGTAAAATAACACTGCAGGAAGCATAGGGATGCATATATCTTTTTGAATTAGTGTTTTTGTTTTCCTCGGATAAATTCCTGAAGTGGGATTGCTGGGCCATGTGGTATATCCATTTTTAGTTTTTTGAAGAATCTACATACTATGTTCCATAGTGGCTATAACAGTTTCAGTCCCACCAGCAGTGTACAAGGGTTCCCTTTTCTCCACATCCTCTCTAACACATGTTATTTGTTGACTTTTTGATGATAGCCATTCTGACTGGTGTGAGGTGGTATCTCATTGTAGTTTTAATTTGCATTTCCCTGATGATTAGTGATATTGAGCATCTTTTCTTAGATCTGTTCGCCGTCTGTATGTCTTCTGTGAAGAAATATCTTTTCATGTCCTCTGCCTGTATTTTGATGGGATTGTTTATTTATTTTTTTATTGTTGAGTTGTATGAGTTTCTTATGTATTTTGGATATCAATCCCTTATTTAGAAACATCATTTATAAATATATTCTCCTATTCAGTAGGTTGCTTTTTGTTTTGTTGAAGGTTTCCTTCATTATGCAGAAGCTTTTCAGTTCCTTTTGATTCTGCTTAAGTATGAATTCTCTAGGAGAAATTACCCCTTGGATCTCATGGACATAGGTGTGTAGGATGAAGATTCAGAACTTGGGAATGAGGTAATGAGACCTGTGCTATAGTAGCTAAAACTAATGG